ATAACTTCGAAACTTCGAAAATAGAGTTGTGAAATCACTGAGATTCAAACAATCGAGATATTCGAATTTTGATTGTCTGCTCAGATAAACTCGCTCGCGTAATTTTTACTCTGTTTGATTTCTGACGCACGTTTTCCATAGTGTTTTGCAATCAATCGACGCTTTGTGCTTTCTTCGATGAATCACTGGTTTCTCAGCCACTGAAGATCGGTTCTCCGTCTTTGGTGACAAATGCAACAGTTTTGATTTAGATTCCGTGCCGTTCACAACGACTTTGTGGCTGCTGCCGTACCGCTTTCAGTGCTTTCGAATAAATTTTAACTTATTTTCTTGGCAAACGCTCCTGTGCTGCGTGTGGCTTCGCATGTAAAAATAATTTCAATTTGCGGCTTATTTATATTTAGAACTTTTACGGAAGTGTAAAAGTATCTTTGAAGTGTGCATTCTCTGCGATTTTCTTTCAAATAATTTTGCAACGAAATCAAAATATTGATAAAATGCAGAAACTTGAACAATTAAACAATTTTAAATGTCAGATATTTTTGGCAGGTAAAGTTATTGTTAAAATTATTGTTATTTAATTCTGACATTATTTCAGATACTAAAGCTTTCATTATAGACTATTGAATTCAAATTTTTATACTTAATACTGAAATATTATATTAAAATTGGTGTTCGTTAATGGTATATATAACAGTAATGATTCCCATGAGTGAAGGTGTGACTTAGTATATATAGTACAGCAGTTATACTCCTATGTTATGTGAACCTCTCTACTAGCCTTTTAGTTTGTGAAAAAATAATACTAATGATAATCAGGGAAGAGTGCGAAGGAATTAAAATCAATTGATTACTTAATCAATGAATTTAAAGTATAAGAATAATGACACCTTCTTTCCCAAGTGTTAAAGAGGAGAAATGTGGGAATTATACAATTACCAATATTAAAAATTATATTTGTTTAAAAGTGAAGAATTCTATAATTCTTTTATATAACAAATTATCTTGAAAAAATATAATAGTTTTTTAAATAAGAAAAGTTTAAATAAATATTTACTAAATTCATAGGTGATAACTAAAAATAAAAAAGAATTAATGACTTGATTGTGAATTTTTATTGTTGAAAATTAATATTTAATTATGAAGTATTACCTAAAAATTCTGTTAATATAAAAAACATTTTTATTTTATATTACACAATTAGATAATTATTTTATTCTCCTTGACAAATATTTCAACGAATTATTTTCTCCAAGATAAATCCAGGTTAACATACACTATCGATGCCTTCATATTTTAGCTAATAATGTACGTTTCTTACAAAAACCATGCAATTTTTTATTTAATAATCTAATTCTAATTCTGAATCTAATTTATTAGATATAGCAACTATCTTTCAGTGACATATACAAGGACATATACCAGTACGTTTTTGCGGTTCAAGTCCACACTAAAATATTTGAAGACATTTTCTTTAAATAAAGGTATTTTTTAAACCTTTATTTCAGAAACCCACCTTAAATGAGATCCTGTATATGCTATATTTCTAAATTCTGGAGTAATTATATACTATGTATATATTGCATGAGTTTCTTTCTTTCATTAGGTTAATAATTTCAATAGAAGCTAACAGGATCTGAGACAGTTTTGTTCATTAGATAAAAAAACAGGGTTTTGAATTCCCAGTGGAGCATACTTAGAATTTGAACGGTGTTAGCAATTATTTTATTGTAATAATTATATATGGTATATTCATACAACTTTCTGTTTTACCTATATATTAATGTTGATATCAATAATCATACGTGGTACAAATAGTGATACGTATATAAAGGGTGTCCGCATTTTTCTTGGTAAGGTTTTCAACAAAAATTTCATTTATTAAAAATGAACCTCTTGACCTCTTGCCATTTTTCGAGTAACTTTATAATACCACCGATGTACAACTTCTATGATTTATCGGCGAAAAATTTGCCAAAGCGATGTTTAGCGGCTTTTTGGGATCAATTTTTTAGTTGCAGAGACTGAAACAAATGATAGTCCGACAGTGCAAGGTCTGGTCTATGCGGTGGATGCATCAAAACTACCCAACCAAATTAAGTTAATTTGTTCAAAATGTGTGTGCTTATTAAAGATGTGTGTGCTTTAGTATTCTAATGATGGAACACTATTCTATTTCTATTGACTAATAATTCTGGTCGCTTTTCCTTGATTGTTTCCTTGAATTAAGCGTTGCACCAGGCTAAGCAGCTTATAATAGACAATTATATATTTTTTTCACGATAGATCTTTTCCGTTTTTAGCTTTTTAAAGGTTTTTGAAGTGTCGGATAGTAGTTTAATTGGTAGTAAGTCTAGGTGATAAGATCTTAACTCTGCTTTGGAATCAATAAAATCATAGATACTTTTCAAATTTTTAAATAGTATCAGAGAAAAAGAATATGCTGTTAAAAATAATAAAATTAAATTGTCTAATTGAGAAGTTATTTGAGCATTTCCTCATTCAATTTATCATGCCATGAAGTTTTTTTGGTCAAATCTCAAGGACAACAGCTTTTTAACTTTATAAGAATTTACTTTGAGAGGATCACTTACTATTAAGAAAAAATACTATTTTGGAAGAAAGTAAATTAACTGTTAAACTGTTGACATGTTCCATCTTATTTTCGTATTGAAGGATCAGTTGGAATTGAGGACTTGAATTTTTTCGCAGCTCTCTACAAACTATAACTCTTTTCTATAAGGGGTTCAATACATTCATGATCATTTTGCAAAACTTTGTTTTTCTTTCTGCTCAAGTTCATCACATATTTTAAGAAATTTTTCTTTAATTAAATATAATTAACATATTCTTAAAAAAAAATCATTTCTGCAAGTCACTATGACATATAATAGAAAATCTCTGCTATTAGAATTGATAAAGAAACCTCTAAAAAAACTTTTTTCAATCCAAATATTAGTAGATGATATTTAAAATTAACTTCAAAATCAACATTTTACTCACTAATAGTACTCAATATCGCAGAAAATGTTTTATTAAAAAATAGATAGCGAAAGGATATTTGGTCATTTCCCAGTTATTTCTTATAATCTTCGAAATACATAACAATTCTTAGCTTTTCTTAACCTGCCTTTATTTGTCCACTAATGAATAAATTTATTTTATTATTTGAATAAAACATGCTACGTCATCAGTTGGTGATAATGACAAATATCCCAGATTATTCATAGTCATTTTTATTTTCTTTAAATATTTTTTTTAGAAAATGTATTAAGTTTGTAGCAAAACAGATGTTTTGAAATGAACTTACAACTTATATTACCTATATGTATGTATATATACCATAATACCATAACCAATAACAGATTTTTAAAACATATTGTATTAAAGTCTAAAATTTTATAGTTTACACATGTAATTAGTCACCTTTAATTTATAGAATGTTACGGAGACATTTGTTTTCCTAAGTTTGTTAGCAAATTTTAACGCTGATTACTAACCTCAATGAATTATACTTTGGATTTAGTGATTGCGTTCAAAAATCGTAAGCTATGTTAATATACATACCCAAAAGCGAATGATTTTCAAGTACTTTATGAATAGTTAAATACTCAGGAATACAAAAACGAGTTACATAGCCAACCAATTAAAATGAGTTGTATTCTTATGATTCTTGTGTGTTGCAGACAAAGTCATACATTTTGAATAAGTGTATGCTTGACCCTAAAAGTATAGGGTCAGTAAGAAATCTGGATCGAATAAAATAATGTGCATAATTAGCTATATGGTAAAGTTATACTTAGCATAGTAAGTAAGTTGGAAAAACTAGTTTATTATTTCTATAAGTTTTTAAGAAATTTTTTCTTCAACTTAACTTTAAAGCATTATTCATTTATTATTATTGCCGTTATTTTATTGAAAAAAAATATTTAATGGTCGATTT